TGTTACTTCCAACATTATTAAATCTATCAAAGTGCGATCCTCTTTCAGTTGAGTTTTTATCCTTACAAACTGACCATGGAACAGTTCAAAGAGCACGTTCAATATGATATACCTAGAGTAGATCAGATTGGCAGATCCTAAGGATTATAAATATTTCAAAAGAAGGTGTCTTAAAATTATTAATAGTTGTTCATCTATTCTGGAAGATATTGATTATCCTAAAATGTTTGTAGAAATGGAAAAATTCATCAGAACCTTGAATATCTTCTTTTATTTGGTTATTGAGTACCAACATTCGTGTGGTCAGTACATTGGATAATTCTTGAAATTGATAAGAAAACCATTATTTTATTGCCACTTTCATTGATTCCAAGAGAAAGCAGGCAAGAATTCGAAAAATTGATGAATGCGGAGTTATACAGATTCAATTCACAAATCAATAATTTTACTGTATTTGATGAAAATCCTTAAATTATGATTCCTTAATATACTTATGTATTGCTCAAACCAATGTCAATATAATAAATGAAATATTAATAAATAAAAACTCAGTAATTGATTTAAAGACAAAAATCTGTGACCCAAATTGATTTCAAGTTTTGTAAATTAACGCCATTTATCATGGTGGCAGTTTTTCTGCTCTCTGGTTGTTGATTAAATGCGCTCTTAAGGTGTTTATGTAAGTTTTACAAGCGTAGGGATGATCTTATATTAAGTCTTTGCTTCGTTCAGATTATTGAGCTCGACCTTTTTGATAATCAGAAAATGCGAGAAAAAATTGTTTGACAAATACGCAAAGTTATCCTAATAAAGTCAATAGATTTTCTGGCCATTACAGTCATCAGATTGACTTATAACTTCATTTATCAAGAAAGGTATTTCAATTGCACAGAACTGTAGTATCTTGCAATAATTGATTCAATTATTATCCGATCGAAAATTCATATTCTCCTTCGATTGCCTTCACTGTTTTCATATTTTCATATTTTCATATCCAGTGTATGCAATTTGACTTTCGTTTAAAGAGTGCATGAAATTGGTCAAAGTTTAAACTTTACAATCAACTATTCAGATTTTTCATCATAAAACTGAATAAAATCATTGGTTTACTTGTTGATCTAATTTCTTTTGAAAATATCTTTACAACTTATCACTTAATCTACCATGCAATCGGAGAGAGGAAATGGAAATCAAAGGAAAGTTTACAGTAAAGCGAAAAATATTTTGTTGTTTCTTGTTTTAATAAGTTTAATTCATAGTACATACAGTGCTGTCAAAAATTCTGGATTTCAACGTGGATTCGCTATTTTTGATATCGGATTTTATTTACTTTTTTTCATCGCTATTATCTACCAGTGTAAAGTAGTCTTGAGAATCTGTCAAATATATTGCATTTTAGTGCTAATTGGAGCGATCATACTTGTCGTAACTATTGGTATTGCTCTTTCAAATATGTCTCCTGATTTTAAATCAAGAATGGAAAAGGATTTCGGCATAAATGCAGCTCATTTCAATGTAGCTTTTAGTGAGGGGTTGATAGGATTTATTTTCACAATTATAATTTTCATATTCCAAATTTGTCTTCTGGAGAAATATATTGACCAAATAAATCGATGTGAACTGAACATTCCACAAATAAGAGTTTAATTGCTTCAAAATTCTCAGTTCCAATTTTCAGTTTATTTCAATTTCGTATTAAAAAAATGACATAAACCATAAATATTAATATATGTTGATTATGAATATCAAAACCAGTAAAGACTAACAATGGATGAGCCGTAAAGACACGGAAAACGACGGAATATGGAAAATATGGAGAAATGATAGTGTCTGATACAATTGTGTAATCAACACTTAACGAAATTTAAATTGTAATCACAATTGAACTTGTTTGATAATAAAAGGTAATTGTAATTAACGCTATAATGAAACTGCAACCATTCATGATTAAACACATTTCTCAGACAGTTTATTATTTTCGTAACAATATTTGGTGAATTTAACTGTTACTTCGTTAAGTCGATCGATAATAGATCGCAACACATTTGGTGATTTAATGTTAAGCATCTCTGCTGGAGTGGGCTCGGGTGCAGTCCAAGGAGGATAAATAACATTGAGGAAACCTCCGTAAACAAGTGGATACAAGACTGAAAAGAGATGGTTTTAAAGAAGTTATTACAATATAACTTATAATAGTTGATCAAATGAAATGGATACTCACAGACTACATTGAGGGTAAATAATGCTACAATACCAGAGGTGACCAAACTTTCCCAGACTCTAGGATGTCGTTCAAATTCACTGCTTCCAAATGAAGTCACTGACGGCAAAGCACTTGAAACGGCCGACTTGAATTTATTCATTTGATTCTTGGCTCGATCACGAAACCTTGGTCTAGTCCTAGAATTGTTTGTATATGTACTCATTTTGAGATGGTTTTGGGTAAAAGATGATAGTTAATTAGTGATATAATTGCTTCTTATTATTCAAATTCATCTAATCCTTCTAGTTGGATTCTTCAAGATATGTAGGATTTTATAGCATTGGAAAAGAGTGAGACAAACTTTTTTACTTTTGGATGTCTAATGAAAAACTTGGTGATGTATTAATAGATATCTCTGAAAGAATCTTCAGTAGTTGATAGTTTCATGTCTCCTGTATTTTTTGTTTAAACCATCAGTTCATTTGAAATGGGAGACAAAGATGAATATAATAAAATCTAATGATTAGTATAAAAATGATGAATGTAGTTGATGCCATTCGCAAGATATTGAGTCTAAAAGTTTGCAGGCCAATGGCCAAAATTAAGCGAACTGTCGATAAATTGAAAAAAGTGTTCTACCAACCAAATGCATCAAACATTTTTATCGACGAAAAATGAGTTTCAGATCTCTAGCCATTACGGCCACAGAGTGAGACTGGTTTAACTGAAAATCGAAGTGATCATTTTACAGAAGACAAAAAATGCATTTTATGCAAAAAGTGCA